TGTACAAAACTCTATACTTCCTGTTTATACCCAGTGCCTATTTTGCCACCTTATTTTACATTTAATAACCACATGGGGCTGCTTGCATCAAACGGTTTCATCTCAAAACAGCCTTGGGGGTTGTATTTGAAGTCTGTTGGTGAAAGCATTGTTATGCTTTGAGGAGCTATTCAAGAGGTGACTACAGTAGCAAGTGGTTACCCTTAAAGCATGAGTATTTTCTAAAAAATTGTGGTCCGTCTGCTCATGATTCACTTACCATTTACATATGCTTCTCCCATTTTTTTCTCCTGTAACTTCCCATGCAAAAGGCAGATTGAAACATCCAGTGGCCATACACCATTACCTTTTTTTTAACAGCTTAACAGCAGTTCTTGTTACAGCCAGCTGGGCAGGAGGGCCAGGAGTGAGGGGAGGAGTAGCCCATGCTGCAAGCAGAAAGGAGACAGTGCAATATCTAGTATCGTTCTGCTGCCATGAGCAAGTCATAAACAGCCTTATAGTGGGGGTGTCCTGTACAACTGTCTGGTCACAAACCAGGTTCCTTCACCCAGAGGTCTGGTTCTCCAAGGGTGAGATGTTCACTAGGTGAGAAGGCTTATCACTGTCGTGGTTAGATGATACTATGCATGGGCTTCTGTGGTCTTTTGATAGAAATGTGCCTAGAAGAGGTTGGAAAAGCACAGCAGGTGCTGGGGAAGTTGATGACCTTAGGGGGCCTGAGGGCACTCTGTGAGTCTGATGCCTGACTGATGTGTTGGGTATTACTAGTGGCTGGTAGAAAGCTACCATAAATCGAGATAAGGGTTACTGGCAGCAGAAGTCCAGTAAGTTCATGGTGTCATCCTGGATTTGAAGCTGAAGAACGTTGGGACTGCTGAGACAGCTTCGTGCTTGAAGGACTCGGGAGAGGGGAGGTTGCAGATCTTCCTCACAGCTGTGTTAATGTGTAACTGAAAAGAAACGAAACTAAGTCTCCAAATAGCTCTCATCATTGTTCTGTTGGGGATGGTCTTATCTACAGTCTTCCCCTGCTTATCCTACCTGCATTCTGTCCTGAACTAAGCAAATGTGACTGGGGGGTGTGGAGGAGTATCTGTTGCCAGTGTCAATGCCCTGCTTGCCACTGAACAGTATGTTTAAAATACAGAGAGGCTTCTGGCTGATAGACAACCCTCGTATTTGAAGACCTGTGCTACAAGATGAATGAATCTGGCAGCTGTGATCTGTCACGGTTTTCTTGGGAATAAGGGGTCCTGTATTATTGCAGTTTCTGAAAGGCATTAGGTTTAAGGGTGTTTAGGGAGAAAGCTAGAAAATCTGTAAGGGAATTTAAATCTATGGATCAGAAATTGATCTTTGAAGTAGAATCTCTTTGAATCTAGTTTCAAAAATAAAGGTTTAGATAAGAATCTTAACTCTGTGTGGTTTTTTAGGGAACCATTATATAAATGGTGAGCAGTAGTCAATTCCAGTAACCTAGCTTCAAAGGACTTTAATCAAAACCATGGCTGAAATTCTCTCCGAAGTTGTATGGGAGATACAGCAGGTTGATTACCACATTGTGAGTATGCTGTACAGTTGTCTGACTAAACACTCTTTTGGCTTGAATCCGACTGTTCTAACTGTTCTCTTTTCACCATGTATTCATGCACCTTGCCCTGCATTACAGGATCCTTGTAGTCTTCATGTTATGTGTGGATACATTACTTTTCCAGCTAGTGAAGGAAAAGATCGAGAATGGAAATATTTTCCTTGCCAGGTGGCCTTGACTTCTGTGACTGTCATTTAACTCAGTTATCTACCTGAATTCAGGTGATGAGTAATGTAATACAAAAAAATTTACCAGCAGTAGGTTGCTATCTGTGGAACACTTCTGCTATTTTTATTTCCTTGCTCTGCATGAGGTGGGGCAAATTTGAGAGGGACTCCAGAGCTGTTGATTACAAAGTAAATGATTACCTCCCTCTGGGGAAGTTTCTGCAGCCCTAGAGAGTGACACCTGGGTGAACTGTCCTGGGAGGTGTCCCGGCGCTCACCTGTTGGTTATGGTCTCTCCTGGATGGCCAGTATCAGCCACTGGGAATGAGGTGGGATTCTGGGTTAAGGGAACCTTTGGCCTGACGCAGCAGAGTCATTTTTACTTTCTCTGCTAGAAATTAATTTCTGTGCTCTAATTGTCACCTATCTCAGGCAGTAACTGGGGGCTTGAGTGTAGGGGGGAAGGTTTTTGAGTGCTTTTTTACACATATTGGAAGAGAAACAGGGAAGAAGGAAGGTTTGGAAAAAATAGCCTGAAATGTCACTTACTTTTCTGACTAACTACTGAATCAGTCAGGTTTCCCTTCTTGCATCTCTCATGCTGCTCCTAAATTATATTCCTAGATTGCAGATCATTCTCGCTCTTGTTCTGCTGTCACTTAAAAATGGCGATACTCATTCACCTTTTCTGATTTTTATCATTTCTCTATCCTGTTCTTTCTCATTATTGCTGAGCATCATGCTTGTACTCATCTTTCCCTTGTGGTTCTTCCAGTCTCTCTTGGTAGTGGTGAACATGCAGTAAAGCTTCCGTTCTTACTGGTTTTACATCTCTTTTCAGCTGGTTACATAATTTCTTGCTCTTTTTAATTGCATATGGAAATGAGTAAAATGTGCGTTGGCACTGGGGAATAAACAATATGTATACCAAAAGTAATTTGTCAACAATTTTAGATTTTGGTATGATGATGTGTCATACCATAAACTGCACACAATAGTTAACTTCTTGTTTACTTTACACCTTACACCTACAGAAACCGACTCAATTTTTCTCTTGAGAAAGGGTGACATACTAAAAAAAAAGATCCGAAGTTGAAAAAAACCTGTTTATCAACTTCGCATGAGTACTACTTACATAAAAGGTTAAGAGCCTTCTTCCCAGAAGGACTTAAGTAAGTTTTTGCTGTTGTAACAGGGGTATTATGATATAAGTATTTCCACTGTATCATTATGACAGTGGAAATACGTGTGTGCTGCTGGGGGTGAGAATAGGGTAGAGGTGAAGAGCTAGTCATTTGGAATTTAGAAAACTAAGTCTGTATCTGGAATAGTCAAAAAAGAAAAATAGCAAGAAAATTCAGCCTTCGCAGCCTCTCTGAGGATCCTAACAGTGAAAGAAGCTGTTTTGCTAAAATATGAACATACATTGACCTGTATCCAATCTTGAAAGCCAATAAAATGCTCTTGAATGTCAACAACTACTTTATTTTGTCAAAATAAACCTGTTTGACACTTTTTTCCAAATGGAATCTGAATAAGAAGAACCAAAAGGCAGATTTCAATGTATGTTGAGTATCTTTGGTTGGTAGCATAATATGGATAAGTAAGAATATACTGGTAGTGGCCTATCTTGCAAATTAAGAAAGTACTTCAACTAGAACTTTTATGAGTATACCCTTACAGCTTGGCGTATGTTTTCATATTCAGTTACTATGTGGAAGGTGTTGACAGAAAATGAAATTTTAATTTTATACACAGCCAACAAATCTTAATAGTGGCCTGATTTTTTAGTAATGAGACCTCGGCAAAATATGTATGTCACCAGGGGGAAAAACATTCATCAGTTTGGAAAAATCCCTAAACCTGTTCATCAGCCACCTGTCTTAAATTGCTCCTCCTTTTCCAAGAGAGAATTCTGTTGCTTTCTGAAGCCCCTCTAATTGAAAATGACACTTACTCAATTAGGAAGGAGAGAAGTGATATTCCCAGCTAGACAACTGTGCATGAATATCAGATGCACACTTGTTCATAATCCATCAAATTAAATATTCAGTTAATACAGAATAATTAACCTGAGAAATTAATATTCTCACAGAAACTTCATGAGCAAGAAATCTATACTAGTAATTTTTTAGAACAGTCAAATTTCAGATGGAATTGAGCAAGCAATTTCTTTAACCTTTGCTGAGCATCTTAGACTAAAACTGTTGTTTTGTTAGGGCTCTTGCAGCAATGGCTGTACAGCCTGTGCTGTATATATGCAATGTGCTTATTGTTTGGAAGCAAGAGTAAAACCATAATAGATAATATAAATATCTTCCTGTTGTGTTCCAGATGTCACATGTATTTAACCTGCAGAAAGATAACCTGCAAAAATTATTGTGAGGTGCTTTTCTCTGTGTGTGTACGCAACGACTTTGCACTCTTTTTCTTCTTCAGCATAATGAAAGAAGAGGCTGTCCGTTTAAAAGTCTCTGAAAGACTGGTACTGTCAGAATTGATTGGGGCAGATTATTGTCTTGGCTGATCAGCCGCCACATCTGTACTTGAGTGTTTTCATCAATTGTTTTTATCCTGGGTCTTTTGATTTGTACTGGTAGTAACAAAAAAGGAATGATTTAGCCAGTTGAAATAGAAATTGCTTCCCTTCTGGACTGTGTAGATTTGTATGAGGGTAGTTTTTAGGTTTCAATTAAAAAAAAAAAAAGGCAGGGGAGGAATCAAGAGAGAGAATTGCACACCTGAATTTAAAAATTGTAGCCTTTGTTGTCAGAGGAAAAAGATCACAAGGTCTCACAAACCAATTTTTTTTATTATTATTTGAACCTTTCAGACTTTGGAAAGAGTAGCTCGTGCACTGCAGCCAGTAAGAAGGAAATATTTTTCATAGAAGTTGACTACAGTGCACTGGAGCTGACAACAAAACTCATTATCTTAACTGGGTTCAAAGTTTCACTTAGTCTTTCCATAGTAACCCAGTTACTTAGCTTTAATTTTGCAGTCAAAATAGTAATGTGGCAGCAAACATTAAGATACCTTGGTGAAAAACACATCAAGAGAGGCATAAATATTTAACCAGTTATTTCATCATAAGCTTACCAGTAAGCATTTGTGATTTAATTTTTTGGTTTTTAATTAGATCTTCCCTGAAAATTTTACTGACCCTCAGATTTTTTTATTTGAGACATTTCTGAAATTTTAGTTTAACGATAAGCAGATGATTCAGGATTGAAGGGTTCATGAACAAGAACAGCAATATTACGGAATATGTGATAAAGTACAGCAGTGAGTTTAATTTTAGGGTATCTTTCAAGGTCTGTACATCTACTCACAAGAATGCCACATTTCATTCATCTGGACAACCTTGCCTGTCCACCACTCTCACCCGTGAGCGCGTATGTCTGTGCTTTGCATGATCCACCCCACAATTGATGTCTGATGCAAATATTAGCAGTCAGGGCTCTGCAGCGAAGTTCTCAGAGTGTGCATAGCGGGGAAAAGCACTAAGGTCACTTCTCTTCAATTTTTGAGGAGTACAAGTATGCATTTCCTGAGGTAAGAGGGTCAGAGGTCTTTTGCTTATTTTTGTCACTGTCAAAAATGTATTTTCATTTACTCAAAAGGTAACAGCTCTTGTGTACCTTGAAGTAAAATACCAGCAGAGAAAAGGCATCTGTAATTTTTGCGTGAGTTTGTTGAGTGATCTCACCAGTACTCCTTTATTTTATGCTTGCTGAATTTATCTTGCAGTAAAGCTTTAGTGCCTTCTCACTGCTAGTACTTTAGAGCTGGTTAGCTAAATCACATCAATAACCACCAACAAAATCCCACTTACTTTAGTAGTCAGCTTAAGAAGCTGGGGTGGAAAAATTTGCAGCAATATCAAAATTTCTCTTCTGACTCTTTTCTTTCAGAAAGTACCTCTGAGCCTGATTCACGAAGAACATACACTCTACAGAATTACTTGAACAATGATTATAAGTACAGAACACATAATTTGCAGTGGATTTCAGGTAATACATTTCTACATACAGCATGAATGTCAAGAAAGTATACTACCTTCAGTAAACACATACCTTCATGCTGAGGTGACTACTGTATCCTGAAAAAAAGTTAAATTATTTACTAGTGCCATTATAGAAAGGCATGTAGCTCCAAGAGTTGTGATTCTTTTATTTTTTCCCCCTTAGACACATGTTCATGGCAAGCTATATTCTCCTACTGCTAAAAGAGCATACTTGCTTCTATGCTTTTTTGTAGAAGCATGTTATACTCTGAAGTGTGTCAGCTTCCTGTGCATCAGACTATCAGGGAACAGGAGGATATAGGTTGCTTTTCATTTTGAATATGCCTAGTGCCCCAAGGGAAAGAGGTGTCAGAAGGCAGAGGCTGTGAGCCCCAGGACTACGTTTTGTGAATGTTCTTGTGCTATAAGCATCCTTTCATTACAGAAGTGGGAAACAACACTGACCAGATTTTTTACTTTTATTTCCTGCTTAAAAACAAGGGGAAAAGAGAAGTAGATGAGCATTTTACTTGTTTATTAGCAGCTCTCTTGTTCTTGTAGGAAATCAGTATCTTCACAAAACAGCTAATGGGGACATCCTATGTATCAAAGCTGAAGACGGAACATCCTCAGTAATCCTGGCGAATACAACATTAGTACGTTGACTTATATATAATATATGCAGACGTTGGGAAAAGTATTGAATTCAATGTTTTGTTCTGCGCGTTTCTTTGGAGTAAGTGCTTAATGTGTTCCTTTTGCCCTTTGTTGACAGGATAAATACGAGGCGACCACAGTTATATTGTCTCCGGACCAAAAGTTTGCTCTTCTGCAGTACAGCTATACAAAGGTACAAGTGCACTTTACTTCTCTGAGGATGAAGCTGGGAAATAAAGGTTTGGCAACAACTGAGTGAGAAGGTGGTCTTGCAAGTAGGGATGGCAGAGGCTGAGAGAGTGTGAAGGAAGTGCAGGAGGGTGGATGAATGAGATGGATGTCTGCAGGGGAACAGTGAAGTTGAGCAGACAGGAGAAGAGAGACCGATATTGTCTGTGAGCTTGGCAGAAGAGATATGACTGCCAGAGAAAAGAAGCTGGTTAGAAAGTGCATGGAGAGATATCACAAGGAGAGTGAGGCTGGATGGTTCATCTGGGGAGACAAGCTAGAAGACTAGATAGGCATGACTGTCCAAAGAGTTGTGTGGGTAAGAAGTGATGAGTAGGTATGCTTGTATACATATGCTTGTACATATACGCTATGTAGATACTGGTTGTACGTTGTGGTGTTAGGACATAAGAATTCAAAACTGAGGTGAACGAAAAGCAGCATGTGCTTATAAGAGGAGGCTGTCCTCTTGCGCTTGGAGTGGACTTGGGTGTCCTTGTTCCGTACTGTCAGCAAGCTGTGAAGAACCTCCAGCATAATGCCTCACACTGGCTTGATGCTGAACCATGCAACAAAGGTCAACCTACGTTTATGCCAGCTGGCATGAAAACCTGGCTCTGTGTGCCACTTGAGGACAGTTACAGAAACCTAATGGAGGCGATAATTTGCCCTACGGTGTGTGCACTCAGAAGCCAGTAACTTTGTTGTTGTTTCCTTTCTTTTTTTCTAGAGAGCTGCCTGTTTTGTTTGTAAAAAGCTCAGTGCTGACTTGTGCAGCGTACAAATACTCAAGCACTGTGTCACTGAGCTCTGTGTACATGTTCTGGCTTTGTGGTCCAAGAATGCCTCTCACACTGCGCCAGCCACAATCCATGCACTCAGTCATCGCTTTTGTTGCAGTTTTAGCTTCCTTTCTAGGTACTACTAAGCCAGTTACCTTTTGTCTTTCTGGATTGTTCAGAATTGTTTGACTTTTCACTGCAGCATTAGTGGCCACGAAATGCCTTGTATTTTTCCAACCACCCCAGGCATGCCCTCTACTCGTGATCTATTGCTCTATAGTATTTTATTTGTTGCAGCCATATGAGTTAATTTTATTTTAATGCTGAAGCAAGATCTTTTAACCTTTATATAATAGTGTGATTGAAAGTTATGTTGTTATTAATCTTTATTGCAAGAAAACAGAGTAACAAAATGAATCATGAGGATGTAGACACTTCTTATGTAATAGCCATCTGGTTGTGTAGTACTAAGTTATTGTTCTATATCTTCATACAAATCTTCAAGAACCATCATAGAAGGTAGCATTACTGTAGCATGTCAGCTCCATGGGCTAAATCAAACCTCTTCAGCCCCACATAGTGAACACATTTAAATGTGTCTGCATTATCATCATCCTCTTTCTCTCTGTAAGTGCACACAGAGTGATACAGACTTCAAGAGGCAGGTTCCTGAGAGAAAGGGTTTATTTCTGTGACAGTATGAATGGGAATAGGTCACCCTGGAACTGGAGGAACTGCTACAGAAACACTGCTGGGACTTGTGAGGACTACTAAACAATAAGATGCCAAGTTAAATAATACAGCATGGAAATTACGAGACAGAAAACGGCAAGTGTGCCAGTAAGGCAGAAGGAGGAGCATCAACTGTGCATAGCTACGATGGTCTGCCATAGCTACAAGGATTTCTGAAAATCTGCAGTATCTGTGGACTCTGTATCTCTGTCCTTAATCAGTGAGTGGCCTCTGTCATAGAGTTTAAGTGATGACCCCAGAAGGGTGGCAATTCTTTAGTCTTTTCTTAAACCTTGCAGAGATTTGTTGTCCTTGTACGTTCATTGTGTTCTGTCTGTCTTAAGCAAAAGCGTGAGGAGGGTGTCAGAGGTAATTCAAACTGTAAAGATGTGAATCCTGGCAAAATTTATTTTCTTAATATTAAAATAATTCTTTTGCAGTTGTGGAGGCATTCCTACACAGCTTCGTATCACATCTATGATTTCAATACCAGGTCAGTAATTTTTTCACACAAGATGGTAGTTTTAACATTATTTTGCAATGAAATGACATTTCACTGATTTCTCTTAGCTGCATTTTGTTTTTGTTTTTCCAGTTCTATCTTGGTTGACACACTACTACCTAATGATACACAATATATATCCTGGTCACCTGTTGGTCACAAACTGGTTAGTAAGATAAGTGAAACTTATATGAAACTGTTTAGTCGTTTTTGTACTCATGATATGGAAGCTCAAACTGTATGTACCCTGGAGGTTTTGGGACTTTCTTGCTGCTAGATAAAGTAGCTGAACTAGTTTTCAAATTGACTACTGTTGCTGGAAAGACTCCAAAATCCCTCTGTGTGTTTTGTTTTGTTCTTTAATGAAAAGGCATTCATGAAAGTAGTAGCGGTCCCAGTAGTCATATAATGCACAAACACACAAGAACTTCGTGTTTTTACAGTTGCAGACAAGAGCTCATCCCTTTCAAAGGCAGCAGCATTCCAATTGTCTACTTACTCATCACTGTGATTTTTATCCTCTTATTACACCATAAGCAATGAAGTGTTGATCGATGCATGTAACGGGGATTAGAGGATCAAAATCTCTCTTGTACTCTTACCCACTGTCCTTTTCTTCCTCCTCTCCTCCCCAATCCATAGCAACGGTGACAGCCACTGTGTTTGCAAGGCCTGTGCATTCCCTATGGTGAGCATTGGATCTGAATAAAGAGCTATCGCAGGAGAATGTGGTGTTTATTTATTCTTATTGCTTGTATTATAGGGATTGTAGAGCCCAACCACAGAAGCAAAGGATGTTGAAGAGAGCTTCCTGCATCACAGAGCAAAGCTCTGGAATAAAACTGTGGTGTTCAGTTGTTGGAGAGAAAAAATGGGGGTGATAAGAGAGGCAGGCAGGTGCCAAGAACTAGAGGAGTTCTGGGCGCTACTGCACAAATGCACCATCTTTGCAGGTCTATTAGCAGTGCTGAGACCCCCATTAATGTTTTACCAAAGTACTGATAGCTTGCTTTGAAAGACAAATTAGTGAAAACCAACTCCTAATGAAGGAAGATAAGCCTGTATTTCAACAGAAAATGAATAGCAAGGTTTTCAAACCTTGATACAGTAATCATGTCATTTATCATAGTTGATTGGTTTTTTGCATCTAGGCCTGAAGTTAGGTTGCTACGTGTGATTTGTATTAGTAATTCAAGTTTGTTAAGTATCAGTGATGTGTGGTGAGATGCAACTTTCAAAGACCGTTATTGTCGTCTCATGTGAAAGTAAACTTCCCACTAGATGAGGCAAAGGAAGGAAGTAGGATTTATTCTAATGGTAATTGTAATCATGATTTTTTGCAGGCATATGTTTGGAAAAATAATGTTTATATAAAAGCTTCACCAACAGCAGAACCTGTGCAAATCACTAAAAATGGAGAAGAAAATAAAATTTTCAATGGAATACCAGATTGGGTTTATGAAGGTAACTGTATCAAGCATATTTTACTTTGCATTATGATGTAAAAACTTTGTTTTATTGTAATTATTTTATTAGAACTGTTATCTCATTTCTCATCATTGAAAAGTTCAAAATAATCTAAGTCTCTGTTTTAAGAGGAGCATGCATCGTTACCTGAGCTTAATACCTGGCTAGCATGGGGATTTAAGAACAGAAATGAATTCGCCTAACTTGCAGCATGTCGCTGGAAATCATAGTATGTGAATTGGCTTCATATGATAGATTATAAGCATTGATATAATGTCTTATTTCAGAACCCCAACAAACAGTCTGCACTTTGGTACCTGAACTTCAATTAAAAAAAAAAAAATCCTATTAATAACTAATGAGGACAGTACCTAGGATAGAAGAGCCAACTTATCAGTTATAATTTAAACACATTTTCATCTCTTTCAGAGGAAATGTTTGGCACCCATTTTGCTCTGTGGTGGTCTCCAAATGGCAATTTTGTGGCATATGCAGCATTTAATGATACAGAAGTTCCTGTTATAGAGTATTCCTTTTATTCTGAGGACACCTTGCAGTATCCAAAGACCATTAGAATCCCATATCCCAAGGTCTGTGTTATTTATTAAACATGGTTGTTCTGCAGTTTCATTAAGAGAGTAGTCTCATTTAATCAGTTTCTGCTAATGAAAATATTGTCTGTCTCTCCTCAACAGCTTGCTGTGATTACTCTTTCTGAAGTCAACAGCATCTGGCAATGTTAAAGTATTTTATTATCTCCAGGGGAAAGCAAAAAGGGAAAAAAAAAAAAAAAGTATCATTTAAGGTTTTGTTGTTTCACCAGAAAATTTTGAGGTGGCAACTAGATGTTGAGATAAAAAAGCTCTTAGGGAATTAAAGTTGGTGCAAAACATTTGGCAGATGTACATTGTGTTCGGGTTGCACGTGGTATTGGTAATGGAATCTTCTTCAACTAATGTAGCGTTTTTAGTTGTTGGATGCTTCCTATATTGGGATGAAGGGGAAGAATCTGCTTGTGGAGTTTCTTTGCCCACACCTAAAGCTCTTTCAGTTTTAGCTGTGAGAGTAAAGCCTTTAGTGCATGCAGCTCCTCCTCCTCGGCCTTCCTCTCCACATGACTTGGTGCCCGCTGCTCATGGCACAGTTGGGGCTGGACTAAATGGTGTGAGAGTCAGTGTCCAGCATGCTCCAGACAGGTTCTTTTGGATACTCCACACGTGGAGGGTTTAGTGTTTAATACAAGAATTACCTGTGTGAAGTTATTTGACATTACACGGGATTTTGATTTAGCAGAGCGATGCAGCAATGCACTTAAGACGCAATACAAGTACAAATTACACTTAGAGTACAGCAATTGCACTATACTGCTAAATTGCAATACAAACGTGGCTCTCATTCCTGGTCTCCGTAACATGCTCACTGCCACAATGCTGGGCATCCCCACTGCTCGGAAGGAATACGTGGGCTGAAACCAAGCCAGCTCAGGAAGATGTTTTCACTCATTTGATTAACTGGGGCAGAACAGCTGATACAGCCAGCTGATCGCTCAGCTCTTACAGCTGTTTGTCTGGTGTAAAAGCTGCCCTCCAGTCCTCTTTGTGCCCAGTTCAGCTTTCTCTGCAGCCGCTGTGGTCGGTCGCTCCTTACCCTTCCCAAAGCTTCAGGAGCGCATGGCCTCTGCCTGTCCCCTTGGAGCCGCCCCCAGAGGGGTCACTGGTGCTCACGGCGAGCGGCTGGGCTCACTGATGGCCGCAGGGACTCTGCCCTGAGCGTGGCGCCTGTGAAGAAGACATAGGTGTGGAATGGCCTGCCAGTTTAAATTGCACCTTTTATGACAAACCCCTTTTGCTTGGAATATTGCTGACTTCTGGAGATGGGTCAACTACAGCTACCTAACTGTTGTGATGAGGACTTAGCTAGTTAACTTGTACTTCTAGAGAAGAAGCCATTACTGACACAGTTGTATTGCTGTCAGTACCTAGTAGCACTACGTTAAAAATAGTGGGGTACGTGCTGCAGTCACAGCTTTGTTGTATAGGCAGCTATTATATGATCACTTAATGTAAGGTATCAGTTTCCATGAAGAAGCACTTTTCTGTCTGTTAGCAATGGATTTGATTCACTGTTAGATACTGTCTGTGGCGTGTGGGACGAGATACAGTCAAACACTGCTTTGGCTACAGCAAGCCCTATGTAGTTACGAATGTTTCTAAATGTCTTTCTTATCTAGAAACACCTAACTAACACTATAAAAAAATACAAAGGATAATTTCTATATCGATCTTAAGAACTGCATTTAGGAACTTGTCTTTTCACATGTTTGAAGTTGGCTGGTTCTACCTGACTGTAGTAATTTCTTCGTCTATATTTTCGAACACTTATTTCACCAAGAATATTCTCTCTTCAAAAGTACAGTGAAAAATTTTATTTTCAGGCAGGAGCTAAAAATCCAACTGTGCAATTATTTATTGTGAATACCAGTTCGCTTCCTGCTTTCGACTCTGTTGAAATTTCTCCACCTGCAGAAATAAAATCAGGGTAAGAATTTTAGTTAAATGTTTGCTTGTTTCTTTTGGTGGGAGAGGAGGAGCTTCTATGTGTGACCACCCTATATTCAGTGTATATGGCAGTTTTTCTCAGTCATGCGGCTCTGGTAGCAACAAGATTTACCAGAGAAAATCTGCACGGAGATTATCCTCCTAGTGATTATATATAGATGGCATATTCCATGTATGTTATATTCAGAATGTGACAAGTTCTTGGCTCATCACATTCGGTGGAGTCTAACTATGGTGAAGTCATTTCACAGTACAACTTTAATATGAGCAAGTTTTGGTATAATCAAATTATAATATATGTATTCCAATTCACTGGGGGAAAAAAAACCAAAACAAAACCTTAATGGTAAGTGAAGATTTGATTTCATTGGAAGCAAGACTCCTTGCTAAGGCAAGGCATCATGGTTGTCTTCAGATTTATGCTTAAAATGTTTGTTTTCTTTGCAAACATGGTGAAAACCAGCACCTCTCACAGTAAATGGAAAATTGTATTTCTCAAAATGCCACTGGAAATGCACAACATGATATAAATGTATTTTGTAAAGAGCAGCTAAATTGATTTAAAATGCATGCACACAGGATTTGGTATCCCAAATCTTGGGTTTTGTTTTTTCTTTTTAACAATATTGTGGAAATTTTTAGAGGTTTGCACTTAGAAACATGCTGGGTATGGAAGCACAGGTTATACTGATAAACTTCAGGAAAAACAAGAGAGGTCTGTTAGCTACTGCATAAACCCAGCATTTTGTACATGGTGGCCAAAAAGCTATAACTGGAGGATCAGTGCTGTTCCGTTTCAGTCCTCACCACAGCGTAACTAACATCTCTATGTTAACTGAGATGTGCAAGTCTTCGTGAATATGTTGTTCTTTATCCTTTCTCTACAGTAACACTGCAATAGCTAGGTGTTATATAGCTGTTGTGTGCTGGTTTTCTCCAGAATTTCAGTGCCCCAGAATTATAAGCCTTTTATGTTTTGGTCAGTTCTGGTTAAGATCTCTGCTGTCTTAGAGTTATGTTTTACCTTTTGTTAACACCTAATGAAAGCTGAACAACGCTGCTCTGTGACGTGGGGACAATAACTATCATCTGTCTTCCAGTTTTGTACCCATCTGGCTGACACAGGCCTGAGTTACGTGGACTTAATCCGTTTTTAAATGAATGTAACACTCCGTAAATCAGGATTAATACAAAGATAGATCAAGTCTTGAATGATAAGTGCAAGCATCAAAACTTACTCTTTCTCCCAATGGCCAATCTAAATAATGGTTAAGCCTCAGCATGTGCGTCCTGCAAACATTGAGGTGGCCAGAACAAGACTTGGGGAATTTCACAAGAGCAAAAGTCCATAAGTAGGAAAAGGCAAGTGATGTGCAGTGTTGCTGTCAGGTAGTTTTGCTCCTGGAAGCACAAAGTAATGAATATTTGCACAGTATGTATATTTATACCACTGTGTGACAGGAAAGGTTAATTTCTGTAGTGGAAAATTCTATTTTTACTTCCTTGGAGCTAAATTCTGAGTAAAACTAAGTTTGAATTAGTGGCATACCTCAACCCACCCGACTGGGTGGGGATTTCGAGGGGCAGTGCCCCTGCAAATGGTTGCCTGTTGCAGCGCTGTCCAGACCTTGTTGGATGCACAGCAGTTGTACCCCCACATTTGAAGGGGGTACACCACACTTCTGTTTCAGAGGGAAAGCTGCCAAAGGCTGGAATGGCAGTGCTTTGCCACATAAGATGGTAGCCGAAACCTGTGACACTTTTTTGCACAAATGACCAGGATGAAATCCATACAGCATTTAAACACCATTTTTAGCATTGTGGGTAGAGGGGGCTCCTGTTGGCTAACAGGAGGATGAAGGCAATGGATGCTCCTTGTCTGAAGTGATCTGTCCTAAAAATAAGTTGTCCTCGGAGTAGAGAGCTCCAGACAGTAGCTGCAGGAATATCCCTTCTCAGCAGCAAATGAGGAACGGCAGTGCAAAACTGCTGTACTCTATACTTGAGTTAAATGCAGCTTAGTTAACGTTTCGTGGGTTGTTGAAAACTGAAGGTGCATCCCTAGTCTCTATAATAACCTTACAATATTTATTATGTTATACTAATAGCATAATAAATAATAATTTTTTTTGTTTTTCACTTGTACTGTCCATTCTGGTCTGATGGATGATTTATAGTCTCCAGAATTGTTAACTTCTCTCACTTTGCAGGAACAAAAACTGGGGGGCTAATTCCCCTTTTACAAAACAAGGGAAGCCACTATTATAGGTACATGAATAATGGCAGTTTAATTTTTTTTTTTTTCCAAACAAGCTCCTGCAGAGTGCTTTTATAATATTATTGGTCTAAAATACAATGTTTGAAGCCAGTGACAGTAGCGATTAAATGACCTACCAACTTCTCAGAGAAATATGAATGTGAAAATATACCTTTTTTAAACATGATTTCTAAACTGCAATCTAGAAATAAACCTAAAGTGGTCGGTAACCAGTTGGCATATATTTTTAATCCATCCACATTAATTGTAGTGTTTTCTTTTTCTTTTTTTCTCCCCCCCCCATGATTACAAAGATATTCACTCTCATCACAAAACTTCCCACACATTTTTGATAACTAACTTTGGGGGAAAAGGGAACATGAACTTGGAACTAAGTCAAATGTGCAAATTCTGGTTAAAAATGTATACTTGCCTTGGAGGGGAGGTTTGTTTTATTTTAGTTCATAAGGCTTCTAGGAGATAGGAGAGATCTAAAATAAGAAAAGACGAGTACATCTAACAGATCGTAATGGTAAACAAAAGTACTAAATTTTATGTGGGGCCTTTTCAAAATTAATATACAGGAATATTCATGAAAACGATATTTTTTGCAGATACTCCAATTCTTCATGTCAACTAGTTGGTATTCTGAAGATTAAAATAAAATATTCAAATAGTAATATCTGTTCTTGGTACGATCTCTCCCTCCATTCTAACTAGTGGAAATAAATACTAAGTTGAACAAAGATATGTGTCACTCTAAAGGTGCTTACAGGCAGCCAACTTCATGCAGCTAAGGATAAAATTCCAAAATCTAAGGCGCATAGAACTTAATATTCAGAAGAATTTCCTCTAGATGCACATAGTACAAGATTTATGAACAGTCTGGAGTAGCTATTATTTTATGCATTAGAGGATAGTGATCTGTCTGTTCAAATTTAATTGCAGTCTTTCTGGAAGCGGGTCTGTACAAACTGTCTAATTCTTTATTGTATGAATGAAAATAACCAAGGCATCTACTAGCAGCAAAAACAATTGGCAAAAAAAGGGCACAATTAGGTTTGCATCATTGTTTATTGTTGACGAGTAGATTGAAATGAAAATACCCAGATGAGTCTCATTGAGTGAATTGCTGAATGCTATTGTATAGTATGCTATTACAGAGAGGATTGTAAATATCTAATGCTATTGCTGTTTTCAGGGATCATTATTTGAGTGTTGTAACATGGGTGACAGATGAAAGGATCTGCCTGCAGTGGCTCAGAAGAATTCAGAATTTTTCAGTCCTCACAGTCTGTGACTTTGAAAATGCTACTGGAAACTGGTCATGTCCACAGGTAAGAAAAATGAGGTGGGAGAGTCACAATGCTTGATAAATGAAACTAGAAAGGAGTAGAGTAGCTCTGTATGTTTATCTTTGTAGAAACATAGCCTGATGGAAAATAAACATAATTGTTGTGGGATTGTTTGTTTTTTCTTTCTTAGGAAAAACAATTTACGGAACAAAGTACAACTGGCTGGATTGGCAGAGTGAGTGTTCAATTTCTAAAACTGCCACATGCTAAATAACACTGATAATGAAGAAAATTTCATATGAGCTTCTTGCTGGCTGCAATGCCTCTTGTGTGCAGGTCTGATCTAATCACTTCTTGCGTTTTACATGTATAGGAAAAAATGTCTCAGACGGAGCCGCTGTGCCGCCCCGCTCCCAGTTTTAAGCTTTTGTGGGTATGGGGTTCTGAACTCCCAGCCTGGGCTGACGGTGCAGCGTGGCTGGAGCTGTAACTGCGTCCTCTGTGACCCGTGCCTCATGTTCAGCTTGCCAAAAAGCAGAGTGCTCCTTCCAGATGCCTTTTTAAGTCGGACCGGCTGCTTTGGTAGTGGTAGGTAGGGGAGCGCAGGAGCCACGATTCAGAATTCCCTTTGTTCAGGGGGACTTGTCAGCTCTGCTGGCTTGGCTGCTCTCCAGCCTTTCTGCCACCACCGGAATGATCTAGGTGATAAAATGTATGAAGAAGTGTATCCTATAACCTTTGAATTGTATTGGAGGAAAGGCGTAGAGGACAAAAGTCATTTTTAGCATTTCAGGTTGCAGCAAACCATTCCAGGTTCTCCTTGTGGTTTTACTTATTTATTTATTTCCTCCCTGCCCAAAATATCCATTGGAGAGAACTGGGGACAAGATGCATATAACTGACCAGATTAAAATTTTCATACACTTCTGCCAGACCAATCGCTACTGTCTGGGTGATGCTTCCCAAGCTGCCTCTCAGTCCTTTTGTACATGGTAGAGAGTAGGCACCTAATGAACTACACAGAAGATCTGGGGGAAGTGAAGCAGAGATGCAAAAGTTCAGACTTGGAGGGAGAAATGAGTTTCAGAGTTTTTGATGAGAACACAGAGTACACTTTCCACTCCCGCATTTTCCACACACTGATTATGCTTTAGTCACTAATTCACTTTTGAAGTCAAAAATGAAAGTTTAAAGAAATGCAAAGAGGGAGGCAACAGCAGGGATGAAATCATCCGCAGTATGAAGATGAGAGATCAACCCACCTGCTGTCAAATTTGATATGGAAAGGAAGGCCTTAACGCTGACACATTTTGCTTCTCTGCAGCAAAGGCTTCACAATTAGACAATGTGATGATCAAGCTGCAGACTTTGTAAACAGTTGTGCAAAATGAGAGGGCAAAATGCGAGTCTGTGCCATTAAACTAGGTTGTTGGTTTTTTGTTGCTTTTAAAGAGACAACCCACATCTTAGGAGCTGTTCGAAGCAAAAGATAATTTCACTGTATGATTCCTGGATTTGAGAAGGGGGTGGAAAGTAGGGAGGATTGAAGAAAGGATAGGAAAGGTATATTTATTCCTTTCTTTTATTCTTATCTATTTAGGGGTGATAAAATGACTCTTGACTGATAAGGGATATTTTTTTAATATATATATATA